CATAGTGGTGTTATAAATAAAAAAGTTCCTGATAATACTCTATTCGAAAAAATTAATTATATTCACATTTCTAACAGTTTGTGTAACACATTGAAAGTGAGTTTATCTTCAAACTAGAAAACAGACAATGTATGGTATATGTATGTATATATATATATATATATATGTATATATATATATGTGTGTGTATATATACATATATATTATTTATATATACATATTAATATATATATGCATTATATATATTTATTATTATAAATTATTTATTACACCACTTTTATATTCGTGCTTTCTTGTGTATAGAATGCAATATTCCTTTTATAGATCTGTTTTGAACCTATTATGGAATGCAAAACATTGTTGAATGTTATTGTACCCAAAGATCGTCTTTCGATAGGGAATCAAAGATCGGGACTGTTGACTGTTTAAAGCGGAATATTTTATCATTTGAAAATTAATTAAATTTATTAGATACTGTCAGTATCACCATACATCACTTATTACATATCAACGGTGTATCAGTACATTTTCCAAATTGCGCACATTGTTGAATAAAATAATTAAACCATTAAAACTACAATAATGATTTTAATGACGTAATGGACTTTTCAGACATGCAGAAAGAATGTTATATTAATTTTAGTACTTTTGCTTAGAAATTCCACCATACATTTTTTTGTTAATTTTAACTTAAATGTTAATTTTAAACATTTAACTTAAACATTTTCCTTTTAATTGTGTACATTTATTGAAATGATTTTTTTTATTTATATTTTTTATGTAAGTGGACCGAAATATAAGTTAGCGATGTTTTTTTAAGAGGCTTTGGATGATCCAAAGAGGAAAATGAAACAAATTTATTTGCATTCTTTACGTTTAAAAAATTAAATATCTAGATTTTACAGAACATATAGCATCTAAGCGAACCGAAATAATTGATTGGTGGAAGTAAAACGTTATTCCCGATATATATTAGCAGTAACTAGAAAATATCTCGCTATTCCTCAAGTCTCGAACGAACGATTGTTTTCTGATGCTCGTAACATTTTCGGCCATACGGAGTAAATATCGAAGTAAATACCGCAGTAATAACGAAGCAAAAAATGTCAGATATCGTTGAAAATTTATACTTTCTACACTTCATTTAAAAATAGAACAATTTTTCATAAATTGATTTTTTTCTTTATAAATTCTTGCATTTAATTACATAAAACATTAATTACATATGGAAACGTTTCTAAACTTAAAAGTGTGGGAGTGATCAGAAAAATATTGTCCCGAGTTGAACATCGGATTCCGAATAGAAATTCGGGAATCCCCGAATCAAAAATTTTATCGTGTATCCACACATTCTTAATAAATATATGTATATATAATACAATTAAATATCCTGCATATAATATAGAATATATTAACATAGGAAATTATATAACTTATTTGAATTCGAAAATACAAGGTTATCGCAATTCGAACGGGATATGACCGATAATATGATCATAAGCCAAGAGCGAGTAAGAGAATCCGATTGAGATGAAAATATTTAGACTCGATACAAACCTTCATTCTATGAGGAACGAAACTTGATTGCGAAAATCAGTGATAATTTGATAATTTATCCTGCCCTTCGACTGAAAACTTCATAACGTTAAACTACTTTAAAAGAAATCTTATATAAATGTAAGTAAAATTAATTATTTCTGTATTGTAAAATAAATTATTATTTTGTGTTACAAATTAATTCCAGGAACTTTTTGTGACCTTTTATAGTACAACATACAACATATATAAATAATTATTTTACTCATACAATTTTTATTTTAATACTAAACGAATTATATTTGATTGTAAACAGTACAATAATAATACACCAAAAGAAAACATTTTTAAGTAAACCTGGTTTTTAGAGTTATAAATATTCTAAACAGTAAAAAATCATTTTTTATCTCGTATTATATTAAAATTAACGTTTCTTTCATTCAGTGAGAAAATTCTCGAAGATCTGCTTTTTCTAAATATGTACAATAAATTAATGTAAGTATAAAATCAACGGAAGAGTTGATATGATTTCAAATTAAACTTTTTTTAATTTTTATTATGATATATGTTATTATAATATTATATCTTCGATGATACTAACATTGAATTGTTATAAATAAAAAGATTACAGTAATATGAAAAATCTATTGTCTTTTCTGATATATCTCGTTGCATTATTCAAATCGCTACAAATTGGAACTTAATATTTTGTTTATTATGCGAATCATTGAATTATTTAATTATAGTTAAAGATATTACCGTGCTTGATATACAATGATATATACTTTTATGTAAATTTTAAGCTGAATGGCCTATTATGATTTAAATATAATGTAGAGGAAATATTATTGTCGGATAAAAAAACACATGATGAATTTACTTTTCTGGAAAAGGTGTGTATGGGTAAGCTACTGATTTGATTATTACAGCAATCTGCAACAGATATTTATTTTCCATAAAGAAATACATACTTTATTCAAGGGAATCGTGCGATAATAGACTTCGCAGGTGCGCGGCACGACCTTTCCTGACACATACATTTCAATGTTGTGACTTGGTAATATAATGTCAATTTTAAATTCTGTATTTTTTTATATAAATACTTTATAATATGTACGATTTTTTGTTTAAATAATAATTTTTACCATTTTTTCGAATTGAAACTTTACTTACAGCAAGCAACACCTAAAATTGAGATCTAAATGATTTTAGTCAAATTAGTTTACATTTTTCTTCTTTTTTGTTTCTCTCTCTCTCTCTCTTACTTTTTCATATCTTTTTCACTTTTATACATACCTGTCTTAATTATTTTGCAATTATTATTTTGTACTTGTAGAATAGAGAACAGTGAAGTAAGATACTGAAGTACCCATCAACTGTAACAAAAATAACTTCTTTTATTTCAATCTGTAAGAAACTATATTGAAGCTGCGTGGAGAATGTCTGTTAAAATAATGGATTGACAATATAGGGTGGAGTTGGATAAGCCGTATCATTGGTTAAGTTGTATCTCCATTGTATTTTCTAAACTAAACATTTTTTGTTTTGTTTAAGTTTTTACAATTTTTTTAAAGTGCTATCAGTGCAAGATGGTGAATGAATCTTAGTGTACTATAGGTGGTAATTGATATTTAAATTCTATTCGAGTATCTCATAAAATTAGCAAAATTTGTTAGTTTTGTTGCTATTGCAAATTTGTAAAAATAGAGTGAGTTGGATAAATTCTTGTCACTGGTCTTTATATTGTACCGGTACGATTTTCACAAGCGACGCGAGCTCTCATTATCTCCTCACGGCTCGTACGCATTGTGAGATTACGTTTGATTAGCATCGGTCGTGAAGAATTAAAAGACCTATAACGCAAAAAGACTCTGAAGAATATAAGGACTGAGAAGAATAAGGTTTTAATATATAAATTGATATTGGTAATTATCCAGGAGAATTACCGCATTTCCGATTTCGATGAAATTAGCACATTTGACCCGTTTTTGCATAAAATAAAAGAATCTGACAGAAAAAAGTACGGGACTGCCTTGCGAAATGAGATATTAAGTGTTAATGTTTACGACTATATCGAAGTTAGGAAATTTGTCACAACTGCAGAGTACATCTTCATGTTCAACATGCTCTACACTACATGTGCATACGGTTTTCTGACTCTTACAGCGATATATTAACGTTTATTTATTAAGATTAAAATTTCTCTCTCATTGTTCAGGGGTTTAAAACTTTCCACATGAAGCGCAGTTCTATATAGGTTTCTAAGTTTGCACGCAAAGCGAAATTTAATTTAAAAAAAATTCACTTTGCCTTTACGAGGAGGAGGAAAGCAGAAATCTTTCGTGCATATATGTATTAACGATTGCGGAGGGTTCCGTCCATTCTCTTCTTCCGTCCTCTGGCGCGCGGTATAATTTAGAAACCCAGTGGTACAATTTAACGATCCGGTCTCCAAATCATATCGAAATTATATTTTCTTAAATTTATGATTGGAACAAGAATGTAATACTTATTTTCGTAAAAGTATCATTTTATTTTCAATGAATCAAAGTTTAATGTAGTTACACAAATGTTGTGATCCCTTCGGTGCTTTTGTTACAATTTTGTTTAAACCTTAATGGATGTGATATAGGCGACTTCTCCCTACATATTTAAATTATTCATTTTTTCGGATTAATCCATCAATATATTTTCAAATAACGAAAATTGATTTATTGTATAATATTCTAGAGTGCAACACACCAAATCAATATATAGTATCAATTTAATAGTTTTCGTTTTCTTTATTCTATTTTTTTAACTCAGCTAATTTAAATTTTATTTTCTACTTATTTTAATAGAGGTACCTTGGTTGATTATCTAAATAATTTTCTAAAATAGTCAAAATATTGAATGACTGTGAATGTTACTATTTTTGATTAAATATTAATATTCGCGGGGAAGAAAAGGTTTGTATATATTTCTTACCGTAGCAGCACTTTCCATAGACGCAATGAATATTCCGCCGAGAACCAAACGAAAAGCTTTTGTACCTTTTTGCAATAGAAATAACATCATTTTTTGTATGTGTAATGGAGCGACATACCATTCAACATCATATCTACAAATCAATGATAAATTAACAACATGAAACATAACATGAAAACATAACATGAAAAAATAAAAATGTTTGTTATAGTATATTCGTTGAAGAATAGTATTATTTTCGAATACTTATGTTAACTCAGCATTTTGTTACAAGAATATTGTAAAACAATTTCTTAAGTATAAACGTACGATGCAAATGTCTCTTACACTGTAGCAAATACGTATTCATTGTGATCTGTAATATCTTGTGCGATATAATTAGACAAAAACATGTATACATAGAGGACACTTATGTTTATAAGTCCTAATACAAGTTGCTCTGTGCTATTATATGATATGATCTATAAAATATGATACATATGTTATATATTTTTATTATTATTATATATATATATGTTATGTATTTTAGCTTCTTACAAGCAAGAAATTTTGTAATTTTTCTGTAATCTATTCCTTAGGAACAATTATACAGCTTGCATTATAAAATAATTAATTAATTTCTTTTGGGTTTCGCATATTGTAAACCTGTATTATTTTTATAACATACGTATGCGAATAATGTATATATATATATATATATATATAATAATGTATATATAGTTTATGATTATAAGAAAAAGTTAAACGAAGAATAATGATGATTTCTTGAATGATTTTATTTTTAAAGAAAATTTTTTTTCCATACTGCTCTAATTTAAAATTCTTTATTTAAATTTAATATTATAAAAATTATATCTTCCATGGAATGATACGTTTAATAACATAAAATAAAACTTACTTGAACAAGACTGCTAATTATGCAAACCATACCAGCCGCTATTAAACAGAAGAACGATCTTTCAAAACTCCTTATAAAAACTTGAGAAAACCTTCAGAAATAAAACAAAAATTAGTACAGCACGTTATACAGATATTCCAGGATGTGTACTGACTCTGTAGCTTTGCGATGAATGCCTATCGCACAAATTATTCGGTTATAAATTATAACCATTTTTTCTTCATTAACATCTTGTTGCATATTAATTGCCATCGTCTTCTTAATACGGAAACTATATGAATATATTTGATAATATATGAACATATTTTTTACTGTAAGTTCTTAATTTTTTTTAAATCTGATTGAAAATAAACAAAGAATAGATTTCACTTATAAA